CCATGGCAATCATTAAAATTCTCAGGCACGCTTACACACCAAGTTCTCCTCGACTAGCTGCACCCAAGTAGCAAGTTGTTCGGGAAGAAACCCCGCGAGATGCGGCGCGGCGCGTTTGTTGGGTTGTGAGTACCGCCTCTAGACGTCCATGGCAGAGGCCTTCAGCTTCGACAAGTCCACGTCACAGTATCTTTATGTTGGAGAAGTAATGCAGAGGAAATGTCAACAACGCCGAAGAAACAGATTGAGCCCCATCTACCTGTTTTTAGGTACTGCTCAGCCAGTCCTTACTCGTGTGTGTGCGGGGCTTGTGTTTGGTTCATTGGCTTCGTTATTTTGTGCTAGTCGTGGACTTGACGTTTGGTATTGCTGCATTGGGTGTCGGCAGGTACAGGCGCCACTGCTGTTGATGCACTCGCCGATGCGCTGCGACTCCCTTGGGTGCGTTACTGCTTCATTTTGCTGTGTTTGAGAAGCCCCTCTTAGTTTTGTCCCTTCTCCCTCTTTTGCCCGTGCCCCTTCTCCTCATGTTTTAACTTGTCTGCCCAGAATGCCAACTCATGGGTATTCTTCGCCACCAGAGCTCCCACGAAGAAACAATGCGAGGACATCCTGAAACAGCACGTTCTACTGAGCAAGCCTCGCGCCTTTGTCCAGATCATTGACGATTGGAAGAGGCATGAGTGGACTCACTCTGGTGGGCCCCCCGACACCGCACTCCAAAACGTTGTCACGAACAACCTTTCGGAGCAAACCAATTCGGCGGTTGGCGTCTAGGTAAGGCTACTCGTCGCACGAGTTACTTCTTAGACTCTACTTCTTATATAGCTGCCGGGATCGGTGTTGTAAATACGAAAGTACCTATATGCCAGGACGATGTTCGTTCCGTTTGTTGTGCACCATGTATGATCGGTAGCGGTATTGGTCGAACAACGAGCTGCGAAGACTCGAACACGTTACTGTAGATTCCGTGTCAGGGACACCCACCCACTCGTCGGAAGGCAAGCGCACCCTGCGTAGCAGTGAAGAGACCGATAGCAGTTGTTTTTTCAGAAAAGAACCTGAATACAAGACTTTTTCGCTGACGTGAATGGACACGAATGTACACGTGGGCCTCCCACGACCCCTCCACCGCACCCCCC